ATCAAATATTACAACAGGTGATTTATTGACATATTCAACAGCACAGCTTGGCCATGGTCAATTAAGCAAAACTCTGCACTACTATTAATTCCAAGTATACGCTAAATAAATATTGCATAATAACAATGTCGGAGGTTACTGCAAAAACATCAATGAAAGTTGATTTTTCTGAATTGACTGAACCTAAGGTGATGGGTTTACTTCTCAGAGAATTGAGATGCGTCACAGTTTGATCTGTTTTTGAAAAGGTTGATTGTAGCTGGTCAGCCTTGTCTATGGCATGCACAGAGTGAGTGACAGGAGGGTTCAATCATTTACAGTAAATGTGAACTCACAGGAGAAGCAGATGTCATTACACAGCAATACAAATGATGAAGGCAATATTAAAGAGGGGGGATTACACTTCTAATGTGGTCAATATGATTAAATGAGATTCAGGAGCAGGACCACGCCTCAGCCGCCCTCTCCTCTCACCAGCGAACCACAACTCACCTCGACCACGCCTCTAATTTCCCAGAAGCCTATATGTAGCAGCCTTTCCAATCATCTCGGTTTGTCTTTGCTAACTCGACCCCACCCTACCATCCCCTATTTTCTCTTTCAGTCATAAGACCCCTACAGGAGGGGTCCCGTTCCGGCTGGGCCAATTGAAGACTGAGACGGAGCCCCCACCTATAGTCTCAACCCAGCCATCTCTGGCCCTGCATCGTACATTATCAATAAACTTCTTTGCACTATGTTGTTGTTGGTGTGGTCCTAGCTAGTGAATGGGATATTAATTGCCAACACATAAGGGTCATTCCACGCCATTTCATCAAATTTCCCGAAAATGTCACGCATCAAATATTGACAGAGAAATGTCATGGTCAACATTAATACTGATACTACTTTACAACACTGATACAAAGATGGATAGAAACAGTAAACCAATATAAAATATTAAAAAAGACAGTAACTTTAAGGCCTGAGCTGCAAAAAAGAAATTGCTGAATTGACTAATAATTAGTCATAAAAGTTTCTTATTCAATTCTCTACAGCTCAAATCTTAACAAATCTCCCCATTATGGCAAAGAACAAGTACACACAAAAACTATAGAACCCAAAATATACTGCTCTAGCTATCATGTATTGAATAATAAGTCGATTTAGTAATTATGGTGACAGGCCAGATCCAGTCTTTGCTTCCGATGGATCGAACGTCAAAAAAGCAATCACTATTGGCAACATTGTGCTAAATGTCCAAGGAAATACATTAATAAACTACAAAAGTAACCCGATAAGCTGCTGGGTCAATACTTAACAAATACAATTATGACAATGTAGTGTTAAAATACTTCCGAATTAATTGAATTCAGCTTCTTAAAACTGCCGATAACATTACAATCTTATTTTGATACAGCTGTCATTCCGATATCCTCTGCCTGATATGTAGTAGATAAAAAGTGGTTAATTTGTCCACAGAGTTGCATGAGAAACTATTGGTTTCCGGAGGGCCTGTCAGGCTATCAGCACAGTGCACATTTAAGATCATACAGAGAAAACACGAATTCATGCCCCAAAGTATACACGCTCTGGAGCAAAGGACACAACATTAGGGCAATTAAGGTCATAAGGTTAAGTTTCAGTTTACACGGACATAAACCATGGAACAGAGTATTCAGAGCTTCAATTGGACATGACTGAGATGCCACAAGTGAGAAATGATTGATCATTGCTACAGTCCAATTCATGCTCTAACTGCCAAAGTGACTGAACACTGCTACCCCTGTAATGGCTCTTAATAATAATAATAATAATAATAATAATATTAATCCATTTGATTTTTGACACCTCAAACACCAGAGAGCAAGCACTTGTGCTGTAACTTTGCTGTAACTTGCTTTAAAGGTGGAATTTTAATTGCATCACAGTAGGAATTTCTTGAAATGTAATAGTGGCTGTGTGCGGGGGCATGGGGACAAGAAGGAGGAGGCACAGGAAAAGACTCTGGAGCACAACAAGCTCCAACAGGAAGTCGTTCAGTGAGAAACACACATCCCAAGCCACTACATACACCACGCACGCACGCACGCACACACACACACACGCGCGCACACACACACGCGCGCACACACACACACACGCGCGCACACACACACGCACAGGCACACACACAGGCACACACACACACAGACACACACGCGCACACACACACGCACACACAGGTGGGTAGAACTCAGTTACATTTACTTGACTAACTGTTCAAAGAAATTTTACTTTATAGCAGCATAATTTTATGTCTACTTGAGAAATACTTTTATTGAAGAGGCAGCACTGTTACTTTGGTAAAGGTTTTGGTGACTATTTCCTACCCCCCCAAATTTTTGTAGCGTTCTGACCATTTCATACTGACAGCTCAAAGTCGATTGTGATAGGAATAGAATCAATACTCTATATTAATTAGGGTGCCACAATGATAATAATAAATACAAACAATTTTAGAATATAGAATATTTATTTTTTAAATCTGTATAACCCTTCTGTGGACAAGCTGTTCCATAGTGGCATCCATCCATTTTCGTCCGCTTATCTGGGGCCGGGTCGCAGGGGCAGCAGCCTAAGCAGGGACTCCCAGACTTCCTTCACCCCAGACACGTCCTCCCAGCTCCTCCGGGGTTCCATAGTGGTCCATGTGTATATTAATCTATGCTCTTATACACAGCTCAAGATCATTTTAAAGGTAGGTCCTCTCTTTTTTAGTATCTTTTTAAGTATCAATATCTACTCAAATTAGGTATTGATAGTAGTTTTAGTATCAATTAGTATTTAATTTTCTATACTTTTGACAACCCTAATTTTAAAATTTGTTTCATGTACCACTAGCTCAGATATGTTTTATTTTTTAACAATTATGATCATCTTTTGAAAACACAAAGATTTTGTGCATCGTTTTTTTCTCTTCCAATTACATTAATGTGGAGTTAATATGACTGGCTGAGATTCAGGAGCAGGACCATGCCTCAACCTCCCCCTGTTCCTCTTCCTATCCTGACAACACCACGTGCCTCCACTCTCTCCACTTTTTAAGTTACTCTAACTTGAAAATTACTTTATTACTCTTTATTATTAAAATACTTATTTACTCTTGACTAATTTCTTGGACTTCTATTTTGTACTACTTGAACATTATATAAAAGTAATGTTGCTGTTGCTTGAGTACAATTTTTGGCTACTCCACCTTTGCACACATTACACACATCCCAGTCCATCACACACACACATAAATCACAGACCACATACAACACACCCATGCACAACACACAACGGCAAACACAACTTCTGAGAAGCTTAAAACGATTTGGGAGGCTCTGCTGTGGCTAAATACTATTTAATAAAACTTGCATGCTTCAGAGTGGAAGGAGAACTGTGTTGTAAAGGATTAGCCATGTGTGATTGACAGCACTCATGAAACTAAGATTTAATACAGACTAGCCATGTGTTCCATTTACAGCCTTTAACTACAATTTAGACATGCTATAGAATTTAAATTACTGATATTAACAGTGGCTAATCTATTGGTTATCAGTCACAAGAGTAAAAAAATTGATATTAATTTTATTTTATAAACACAGGACATCAACAATGAAGACAGATAGCAGCCTACAGGTAGGACTACCATCTGATCATTTAACCTAGCAATATAAAACAAACTGAATTAGTCAAAAGTTCCACCATAAAAAATGCCATAGCCTATTGCCATTGCCTAACATGGGGACATAGGCCTGATGGTAATGTAGATGTTTGGATAGTGTGAACACTATCAGAAACTAGTGCCTGATCAAAGCTGGTCACGTGATCGGACAATGGACAAACTGCTCTCCATCATGGACACTCCTGCTCACCCACTGCACCAGACTATAGAGGGACAGATAATACTCCCTACAACTGTACAACAACTCACCCACTGCACCAGACTATAGAGGGACAGAGGAACTCATTCTCCAAAAGGCTCCTACAGCTTCACTCAAACAGTGAGAGATACAGGACTACATTCATACTATAATACTCCCTACAACTGTACAACAACTCACCCTTATGTAACAGATAACCCTGTGTCCTGACAATCAGCATATCAATGTTGCACTGTCTTCCTATGACCTCTTGTACAAAGCTGTTTTATTTTCTTACTTATCTATTTTATTTAGGATTTTTATAGTTTATTTTCTTACTTATCCTGCTATTTTTATATTTTATTACTTATGTTTCCATTTTATTTTTACTTGTATATTTACATTTATATAATTATGTCTTATTTGAGACCATTCTCTTGCTATCTTTTTTTTGCTACTTATTTAGAATTTATTTTACCATTTATAAATGTGCTCTTTGTTTCTACATTATATTGTGATGTGTGTACTACTGTGTCCAAATAATTTCCCTTGTGGATCAATAAAGTTTGTCTGTTTTGGGTAGAAGGACAGCAGAAGACGAAGCCTGCTCTAAGAGCAGTTGTGTCATAATAGAGGCCCTACCCGCTGTAGACAGAAGTCTCTGTCAGGGACCACTGTCCAGGGCACGTGTGGTCCTTAACGAACACTTGACATAGCGAGAGGAGGACAGTCAGCAGCCGGGGTTAATCATTGACCGTCACTTGAAACACTTGAGGGGAGCATGCAAAGGTTGCCAGGCACGCTTCTAGAAAAAAAATGCGGAAGGGAGGAACGAGATTCGAGACTAGTGGATGAGAAGAAATAAATACACCAAAAGCGGGTGGGAGACAGGTGTGTTCCTCACTCCGCTGAGAAGTAACAGTAGAACATATTGGACTAAACCAGAGCCGAGTGAAAAACCGGCTTGACAAGAACGCAACAAAACGCGCATTGAGTCTGTGCCCATGAGTGACCACAGGGGAAATTCTACATGCGCTCAACAACGCATAGTTTGTCCCACACTTTCACACAGTGAAAGAACAGACCAAAGAAAATCAATACTACAAACAAGAAAAAGTGCATGACTCTCACCTCGTCCCACTTGATAAACTTCCCTCCTTTTTTCAGTTCCTCGTGCACGGACACAGGTTTAAGTTGTAGTGCGTGGACTCCCGGCTTGGCCCCCGCCATGGCTCGGGACTCCCTGCCCGGCTGCCAACGCCTAGAGTCCGGCTACGGACAGCACTGCCTGCCGCTCAGTCAGCAAGATAGATATGGAGCAAGCTAGGAAGGAAGTAAACTCTCTTCCTCGTTCCCTGCCTCCTTTTCTTCTGCGAGGACGCGATTGTGAGAGAACTGGTTTACGTTGAGAACATTACAAACAAGTCCACGGAGAGGGGAAAAGTTAGTTGTCATATGGCGCTGTCTTGTCCGCTGCACGTTCGAACAAGCTTTGCTTTGCTGGACATAGAAATAATCCTCTGTTCTTGTTGGAGTCCTCTTATCCAGACGCTTCAGAGTCCATTTGGCGTGTCAGACCGCAGTCCCCGAGCCTCGCTCCGAACTTTCTCAACTGCCTGCCCAGTCTCCGCTCGTCCTTCCCCCGCCTCCCTCACCCCTCCTCCCTCACCCCTCCTCGCATGTTTTGTGTGGGAAAAGGATAAAATGAAGGAGAGACAGCTGCGTCAGGAGGAGGCGTGCGTTAAGGGGTGTGTTTTGGTTATTGGTCTCTTCCAACAAAGTTCACCCAAGTCGTTTGAAAGTAGGTTATAAGCGAAAAAAGGCTACGAATGGGAAAACAAACAAACAAAACGCAATTTCCTAACAGTCCCATGTATTTATTTTTTTGTAACAATTGCACGTACATCCACGTTTGTTTCTTGTCCTAACCAATTGCAAGCCCATTCCTGAATGATTTTGTACTCACTGGATGCATATTATAACTGACTAAGGGGCAGCTGTGAAATCCAAAGCGTTGAAGCAGATGACTCATTTTAGAAGTCGAAAGTCCACGGAGCACTGATGAGGTATCCACAGGTGAATCCGTTTCCTGGCAGGTCGGGTTACATAACGTAAGGTGTTGGTTAGGCGTGTTTTAACGTGTAGCTTATTCTCTGGTAGAACCGAGCACAACTCATATGTTTGCGAGAAACAGTGCAAGGCCTAGTACCCAGAATCAACGTTTTGTTAAAGTGAATAAAGTTAAAAGGTGCAAGCAGGTGGCGGATCCTCAACCTGAAAAGTATCTTTCACCTTGAATTTATACATCTTCCCTTATAACTATAATATGATTTGTAGGATTGGATGCTGCCCCACAGTTATCAGGCATACAGTACATTTTAAAACTCTTTCTTGCTTGGAATTTGCTTCTGAAAATCAGCTAGCCATTAGTCAATAGTTTTAGTAATTTCCGATGTTGGTATGTTTATTAATAACATATGGACCAATACTGAGCAGAAAAAAAAGACATAAAATAAATGTGCTCTAAATTGCTCTAAAAGTAGGCTACTACAACTGATCCTGGATTGCCAGCATAGACTGTGATTGCCAGTGCCTTAACAGCAGATAGAGGACACATAGGCCTAAGTTTCTCAGTGTAAAGGTCATGCTTCATATGAAAGCTCTGAACCTCCAGAATTCACTCAGAGGCTGCACTAGCACTGATTAGCCTAATGACTGGCCACAGGACTAAATTAAGGTTATATAATGTTCACTTCAGAGAAAGAGAGCAGATTTGGATTACATTTCATATTCATTAAAATTATTGCCATGGTAACTCCACTGACCGCATCCTGTGCAGCAGGGGCCCCTGAGGCCTGTTGCTAGAATCCAGTTGAACATACTCCGAGTTGAGGAGTAAATTTTGAGTTGATAAAACCAAACCAATACAAACTGAGTCACTTTAGGTCCATGTACTCTTTGAAGCTGCATATGAACTTTCTCTATGTACTAGAGTTAAACCCTGAGCCATTTATAACTGCAGTTGCTGCAGCACAGACCAGGCAGAGACTGGCACAACTTAGCCAATAGGAGTTAGGCTCAAGTGAAAGGGGCTATCTCAGGGCCACAGGTGGAAGTGGTTAAGTAAAAAAGTAGCAGAAGTAGAAGGTTTTTTTTGTTGTTGTTGTTTTTGTTTTGTTTTTTACAGACTTTGATGAACAAATTGCTTTAAACCCAATTGAAAACCTCAAACCTCCATTCACAGTCCTGCCCTAGTCTAGGTTAAAATTGCCCACCATCTCGTTGCACCCACTCTTTCACTGCACCCACTCCTCACTGCACCCAACAAGTCACTGCACCCACTTTTTCACTGCACCCACTTCAGTGCATTCACTCCCTGACTGCACCCACTCCTCACTGATTTAGTACTTTCTTTTATATCACCAAGTGGTGTTATATCTATCCCTCAGTTGGCCATGTAGGTTTCATAGTGGTTAATGGGTGTGTACTAATCTGTGTGATTTTTACCTGTTCTTATACAGATTTGGTATGTCCATCACATACAAAAAATAATAACTAAAAGGCAAAGTCTGGATTCTAGTTTAAAATTGAAGAACAAATGGAATACAAACAAAAGTAACAATTGCTAAATAAATCTAAATAATAATAATCAGGATGAGAAATAATGGGGGCTATATGGCTATTATTCGCAGGCCAAGCTCTTTGCTGACCTAGTCACTGCAGAGAATGCAGACGGTGCCATTTGATCCACACACTTTAGGCAACAGATACTTTGTTTAAGAATTTAGCAGTTAGACAGGCTGGGACAGTGTCCGTAAAACAGCCCTAAATGCTCTAATTAAACTGAAATTATATTTCAGTTGTTTTAAGTATATATATATATATATATATATATATATATATATATATATATATATATATATATATATATATATATATATATATATATATTTAGCTATTATTATTATTATTATTATTATTATTATTTATTATTATTTAATAGGTTTAAATTCAGTGCTTACTTTAGATACTTAAGTTGCTTTTAGCCAGTAAAGTAGGTCTACATGCTGTTGTGTGTTGCAACAAATTCAAAAGCTCTAATAACGTATGGTGCAGAATATAAACCACAGCTGCATACTTTCTCTTCCTCTTCCGCGACATGTGGATCTTTATCCAAAGAAAAGTCAAGAACTAACAAGGCTACATTGTAGGACGCAGAGATATTCGCAGAACGTGCAAGTTGAGCATCCCCCGTGACACGGGCGCGCATACTCACGCACATGGAGCAGACAAACCACAGCCTCTAATAGGAAAGGCCTGACTCCGCTGACGAGGGAGCAATGCTGAAAGTTGATCAGATTACGCCGTGCGCAGTTCAGTGTTTTGAAGTTAAGTGGCCTCAGTTACCATCTCGAGGTTTACGTTACGTTTAGTTGTTAAAGTGTAAACAAAGGGACGCTGCTGACTGCTTCCAAAACACACGTTTTGCTTCATACGTTTAGGCCAACATCCTCTATCTGTAATAGATGCACTTGTTTGTTTTTACTGAGGAAAAATTTAATTCCATTTTCGTACCTTCCACTGGCGCTAAGACGTGATCCTACAGTGACATCTAGTGTTGGTGCAGTGCTACCACACCTCTCTGCTGTATGTGAGCGACAATCAGGTATTTGTAAAGCAAATCTCTTGTCCCCACTGTGTGTACACAACGTAACCTCAGACAGGCAAATACACCGGAGATGCAGTAGGCCTGGTGTTGTGATATTACTGTATGTATAGTCATTTGGGCCTATATGCAAAAGGCTATAAACACTATCCTGTTTGGTGCCTTGGATCTCCACTACAGTACTCCTTTTTTATAGTATACAAAAAGTGCTTTGAAATGTACTGTACATGAACTGTACATTCAATACAAATGTTGTAAATTTGTATGTCTGTATGTATGTATGTATGGTTGTGTGAGCGAGAGATGCCTGTGGAAACCTATTGTATCTTTTGTCGTGTTTTATGAATTGTGTGGGTTATGTGGTTGGCCATGGCCCAGCTGGGGACCATCCATTAATCCATCCATTTTCTTCTTCCTTCCAGGGTCAGGTTGCGGGGGCTGTAGTCTAAGCAGTAGTCTAAGCAGGGTGAGGAGCTCAGTCAAGCAACCGAAATGAGTTTCCTCCACACAGTGACTGGGTGCTCCCTTAGAGATCTCCCTTAGAGATCTCTTGCTTGTATCCGTGATCTTTGGTCATTACCCAAAGCTCCGGACCATAGGTGAGGGTAGAGCGTATTTTAACCAATAAATCATGCCCAAGAACGAGGCCAGTTTTGACACCCGGATTGGAATCACTGGGGCCCTACCCTGGAGCCAGACCGTAAGGGGGCAGTATGGTATCCCTTCTTTCCTCTTCACTGACGTATTAAACCTTTAACTTTGGTGCCCCCTTGTGGATAGGGCCACAGCAAATACATACTTGGCTCACAGCTTGCAATATTTATCACAAGTAAGTCATAAATAATGACTAAAAAACAAACAAAAAACAGATAGCCTACACATATCATTATGATCCATTCACTCTACAGCCTTTTGTAAGCATAAGAATATGGACAGAGATGGGTAGTACTCACTTTTAGATTTTTTTAGTATTTATTTTTCTATTTTATTTTGACTTGTACATTTATATAAATTTATATAATTATGCCTTATTTGACACCTGTCTCTTGTTCTTCTTTGCTTCTATTTAGAATTTATTAGCATTTACATTTTTTACTCTTTGCTATTATATTATATTATGATGTTTGAGTTGCTGTGTCCCAATAATTTCCCTTGTGGATCAATAAAGCTTGTCTAAGTCTAAGTCTATTCATTTAAAAAAAAAACTTTTTAAAGATCCTATATTACACGATTGACTCTTGTGAGCTTTAAACCATATGCTGTTACTTCACCAAAAACATATCTGGAGTTGTGTTTTGTTTTATTCACACATGTTTGAGTAACCCTTTATCATTAGGCTACATCTCCAAAGGTCACAAGGCTGTGGTCCACCTTATGATGTCATGTAGTGGTAGTTTGAGGTTAACAACTACCTTTACCTTTAATTCAGCAGAGATCGGCAGTACAAGGGCTAAAGTCATCAAAA